ATGACCTTGAAAATCGCACTGCGACCCCAGGCCTTAAACCCTTTTTCCCTGTCTCTACGAAGTGAATATCCCTTCCTTGTCCCTTCTTTTCCCCTTTATCTTTCCCCTCCCATGTGAAACTCCTGTCAGCTATGATATAGTGATGGTGTTGAGTAGATGAGGTAAAGGGCAGATTGAAACATATTTTAGAAAAACGGCCGGAAAAAAAAACGAGGCTTCCAGAAAAACTTGCAAAGCAATACGTGGGGGCACACCCTCCCAAAGCAGTCAGGTTAATTTCCCTTAAAACCCCTTGATCAAGAGACCAATTTTAATGGTTTTTCGAAGCGTGTAAAAATCATGAGAAAACGATCAATTTTCCGCGATAGTGAATGCCCTTGAAATTGACTGCACCTCAGGCCACTACACCCATATTCCTGTGTCTAGCGAGTAAATATCCCTTCCTTGTCCCTTCCCTTCCTCGATTTGGAACAACCCCTTTCGCTCTACTTGCTTGTGGCTAGGCGGTTTTTTTTGCCAGACCACAGGGGTGCTTGGTGCCCGTGTCCCTGTCCCGCACAGAGGACCAACAAGTCCACCACAGTGATTTATCTCATTGATTGTAACATACTAGTTTTTTTTTTTTTAGTAAAACTTTTTACAATTTTGGGTTGGGGTAAGGGGTTTCTTCACGTTCTTGTGATGTCTCTTTATTTTTATTTCAGGGAGGTTTCATTGGGTGGCAGTAGCCTGAATTACTCAAGGGGAATTTTTCATTGAATCAAACCTCTTGTTTAATGTGATGTATGACAGAATTTTAATTTTATGCTCAATTTTTCCTATTTTGTCTCTCTCTCCTCTCTCCTCTCTTCTCCTTCTCCTTTTTCTCTCCTCTTCTCTCTCTCCCTCTCTTCTCTTCTCTCTCTCTCTCCTCTCTCTCTCTTTGTAATTTTTTGAAAAGGGTGTAAGCCCTCCCCTGTACCACCTTTAAAATTCATTATAGTCCCAAATTTTATTAACACACTACAAGAGGCCTGAGGGGTTTTTTTGGTGGGGTGGGGTTTTCGTTTTGAGTGGGGGTGATCTGGGTTAGTAGGGTTGGAGGTGTTCTTGAATTGAGCACTTGTGTCTTGTATCTATTTTGGCTTCTGATTTGTATGAATTTTTGCTTTCATAAGCTAAAGGGAAAGAAACAGGAATCCTGTGTTGTGGTTTTACACCAGATATCATCCCCGCAAACTGGAAACTGTCATAGGGGAACCTTTTTTCTGCAGGTGAGGGAAATGTGATAGCTTCCAAATTTTTAAAAGAAAAACAAAAGAAAAAAGTGAAAAGGGGCTAGAGCTCGACTAGTCAGACTCACTTGACTCACACTATGTGATACAAACGCCCTTGGGCACAGGGGCGCAAAAAGTCTTTTTTTAAAAGGAAAATGTGTTAAGCTGAATTTCCCTGACAACCCCCCGCTGCCTGCTAATGTGCTGGCAAATGGAACTGTAAAAAAGCATCCTAACTCAAGGATCCAATTTAGGAAAAACCACACAACTTTGTTTTGGGGAACGAATAAAGAGTGATTAATGACTATTAGTACCCTTTATGGGATATTAAGGCTCCACCCCCATCAACACTACCACTTCAAAAAAGGGGTCATATCAAATCTTTGGATACCCCTCTGAGGGACCCATCCCATCTGCCCTTTATAGCAAAACTAAAAGCCTAAAAGACTTAAAGGAAAATCCCAATTTTTGCCTTGGGGTGGGTCCTGTGCCCCCCCCCCGGGAATATCTGGGTGCAGGTTTACGTTTCCAAAACATCAAAGTGTACCTACCCCCAAAACGGGGGGTTTAAAAATGCCAGCACATGGCCATGTTGCAGTAGACTGTGAAACACTTTCTTGGTGTGGAAAGTGTGCTGGGAAACATTCCACTAGAGAAGCACGTGGGGCCCTGACACCCAAAAAATTTTAAAGTGTATTAACTGTAAAGAATTTGGGGGGTTAATTTTCCCCACAAGGACTGCAGTCAAACCCAAAAAACCCTTCGATGTAAACCTGATAACATCCTTTAAGGTAATGAGGGGGGCCTCCTCTACACAGCCAGACTAGACTAAACCCTTTGCAAAGGGGCAAAAACCCCCACCTCATGAAAAGGGTTCTGGTCCCAAATCCATCACACACACCACTGTGGGGGAGCTAGCCACCCTGCTAGCACATATGGAACTAGGGCCCCTGCCACTACAGATCCCTTGGTTTACACCTGAATAGGGGGATATTTTGCCCTTTCTCCATACACACAACTACAACTCAGACGGACACCACACAGGAACCTCCCGGAAATTGGAGATGAGTCAATCCGGACCTACCTGCAATAAATGATGAAACGAGAAAACTAAGAAACCATGGTCCCTTTTAAAAGGTATAGGTTTAAAAGGGAAGACAACCCAAAGTGCCATCCCCCGAGAGGATTGGATTCCCCTCCCTTCCTCATATTAAAACCCAAAATTTTTCCAAAAAAAAATTGGCTCTTAAAACAATCCTGACAAGTTTAAAAAATATTTTAATCGGGATAGCCTTGACTTTTTGAGAGTAAAAAGGGCACAATCCCGTTCAGCTTCCAGCAATTTGTAAGAAAGAAGCCCATGACTTTCCCTTTCAAGACTTCCCTTTGGAACTGGCTGCCAATATGCCGAAAAATGCTTAAAAAAAAAGGTCCGAAATAAAGACGACAAACATGTATTTCTCTTAAGTGTCTGCAACTGCATCAAAGCAAAAATTTTTTACTTTTATGAAAGAGAGTAAAAACCACTACAAGGGATACATTACAAATTTTTCAGGGAACATGTTTTCCTAGGAAGGGGTTGCCTATTGCAACCAAAAAATTTTTGATGTTTTTTTTCAGGAAGTAGACTGAAAGATGGACACCTCCCAAACTTGCCGGGATATCGCTTTTAACCAAAGGGCAACCAACTGTTGTGTGATGTATGTCAGAAAGAATTTGCCAATTCACCCTTTCCTTGCAGAGTCGGTTAACAGCAGTATCGGGTGAAAAAGTATATGCAGGCGATTTTTCCTAAACTTTTTTAATCTCTACCCCCCAGCGAACCAGCTTCCCCTGATCTTACCAGCCCATCAATAGTAAACCTACCATCATTTTGGGAAATTTTTAATCCAGATAAAGAATATTGGGGGGTCTATAACAACACCAATGGAACAAACTAGTGGAGATTCTAAAGGGCATGAAATTTTCAAATTTGGGGGGCATACTGGGGCCTACTCAAAATTGGGGGGCAACAAATCTTGTTTGGTTTTAATACATCATATCTGATGACTCTTCATAGTTGATGATCTTCATCTGATCCTTTCCCCAAGACTAAACGTAAAACTTGTTCACATCCCCTCATTTCAAGGAGCTAAATACGAAGGGGGAAAACTTATTCTCAAACCGAAACGAGAAAACTTTATTAACATTTGGTCAATGGTATAAGAATACGACCCCCTTGGGACACAAAAATTTAAAGATGATTTAATTTCCACATTTAGAGGTTCTCACAGTCAAGTGGGGAGGAATAGGGAAAAAAAAGACCCTCCACTATAAATAACAATAAAAACCAATGTAAATACTTAAAAGATCCACACGCGCAATCTAACACATGCAGCAGGGGGATTGGTAAAGCTACCGGAATGTAAACCCCCGACCTTCAGAAGTTCCCAAACGCACAACAAATGCAAGGAAAAAAGGGAAAAATTAGGCAACAGGAAAGGGAACGTTTGTTTTTGGATTAAATGGTCCCCCCCCCTTTGATTTTGGGTTGGGAAAGGTATAAATAAAATAACCAGGAAAAAGACTGGCAATGTTGTCACCCCTTTTCCCCCTTGAAAAAGCAAATGACCTCATAAATGACTGGTCCCAAAAAATCCAGGCAT